CCAACATTCATCGTCTTTTACTTTCTGACTCTGGGTCTAGTGTATCCAGCTGCCTCAGTTCCTCTGCCACGGATGGACTGTACCCTTTTGGTATGAGCTAAAATAAACCCCTTTTCCCTTGTGTTGCTTTTGTTATGGTTTTGTGTTTTGTTGTTGTTCTTTAGTTGGTTGGTTTTGTTTGTTTTTAACCACAGCAACAGTAAAAGTAACTAAGCTATTAAAGAAAGTCCCCAAGGGGACTGGAACCATGAACTCACCCACTGAACATTTCTTGAATACTAGGAGCTTCTTTTACTATCTCAGCTCTCACAACAGCCCAGCGTGTACTGAGATACTTGGATATCAAGAATCACCAAACTCAGCCAGTCAGTGGTGGCACATTCCTTTAATCTCAGTACTCAGGAGGCAGAGGCAGGTGGATCTCTGTGAGTTTGAGGCCAGCCTGGTCTACAAGAGCTAGTTCCAGCTACAGAGAAGCCCTGTCTTGAAAAACAAATACAAAAAAACAAAACAAACAAACAAACAAAAAAGGCACCAAGCTCCTATTATGTGCCCTCTCTGTTGTAAAAAAATCCCTTGTGTATGCATCCTCACCATAGCTCCAGGATTCACGGAGCTAAGAAGAGGAATCTCTGATATATTCCTAAGACTAACAATTATGATGCCAGGCTGTGTTGGCTCATGCCTGTGATCCCAGCACTCTGAAGGCCGGGACAGGTGTTCAAGGCCAGCCTGGTCTACAGTGTGAGTTCCAGGACAGCCAGAGCTGTTCACGGAGGAACCTGACTTGAACCACCACACACACACACACACCCGCAAGAAAGAAAGAAACAAAAAAATCTAACAGTTATGAAGTCTTTATTTTTCTTTCCAGTGCTGGGGAGGGGCATACTAGACAAGCCCTTTCTACCACAGCTGTACTCCCTAGCCCTTAAATCATGTCTTTAAGCCAAATGCTGTCAAAAAAAGGACAAAAGAAATGCAAAAAAGACAAATGTGATTTTCTTGTTGTTGTTGAGTAAAGTGGGTAGTTAGTTTGGGGTTACTTGTTTCTTAAGTCAAAGGTATTTCAGTCCTTTGCCCAGCAGTGCCTTTGGCCAAGTCTGTAGTGAACCAAGTCGTGGGCTTCAGGTGTGAAGTTCAGGCCTGTCTTCTCCCAGGAGGTGGCAGCAGCAGCAGCTGCGGGCCCGGTAGTGTCAGCTGCTGGGGAGATAGGGCAGAATGCATCTGCTCTCCCATTGGCATTCAAGGCTAGAAATTCCTGGTTCCAGAGACCACTTTATCCCTTCCTTGGTTTGCTGAGTTTGTTTGGGGCCTGGCACTGAAAGTGCAGGAGCTGGCAGAGAGTCCTCTTTCTAAGTGCCTAGCTTTCTCTGTAAACATTTTGGTCTAGGCTGTGACCTTGAAGCATGTGGGAAGGAGGCTGAGAAAGTCTCTAGCCAACAGGAAAAGGGCTTCAAAAAGAAACAACCAGTAACTGAAACTCACAGCCCCGACAAGCATAGCCCTGGAGGGCACCAAGCAAAGAATAAAGTAGATTCCTGACCTGGGCTCACAGCCACCAGCCTGATGACCTTGACCTTGACCTTGCCAGAGCTGCTATTCTTACCAACCCTTTGAGGACTACCACGATCTTCTAGCTCCTGCTGATTTTGAACTGGCTGGGGGTGAGCCTGTACGACTGTGCACATGTCTGTGTGTATGACTGCTAGAGGCCCACCTCGCAGGTCATTCACTCCGTGTCTTTGGACAGGTTCTCTCAGTGACGTGGAGCTCACTGCAACCCATAGGGTCCTGCCTGTCCCCACCTTTTCAGTGCTTGTGTTGAAAGCACAGTGCCACTCTGAGCTTTTTTCCATGGCCACTGGAATTGAATTCAGTTCCTCATGCTCCAGCAGCCAGCACTTCTACCCAACCAAGCCATAGCCTCGGTCCTCATTTTTAAATTTCACTTTTAGTATTTGGATGAAGTAGGACTGCCCTTCACCCTTGCAGCATTAAAACACATCTTAGACACAACAAACCACTGCTTGGTTCCAAGTTAATCCCAGCTGAGCACATATCCTGGTTTGGCAGACAGTGCCAGCTGCATAGGAGGTGGGCAGAAGTCCCAGGAAATGTCTGGATACCACACAGCTATGGAGGGACTGTCAACTGCTGGAGATTGCTTTGCAAATTACCACATCCAAATGAAGCCGACAAAAACGATATTTCAAAAAAGCAATTAACGCTGATTCCTAGTGTATTTGGAACCAAATGGCCTCGGGGCCTGGGGGCAGGGTGAGACTGCCTCAGAAAAACTGTAGCCCCAGCCTTCCTGGTTGACATGTCCAAGGGTAAGGAGCTTTGAAGTCAGACTTTTTCTGTGCTCTCCTCCCCCACCCATACCTGGTTTGTGATAACCGGGCATAACTAGTTCCTCTCGTTTCCTCTCTTTTGTCCAGTTGGCTCTAATTCCCTTGTTTTATTAAACTTCCATCCATTCATTGAAGTAAGCATTTACCCATCCTCTCCTGTGTACCAGGTACAGACAGTATATCTGGTTTATAGAAGAGTCTGTTCAGAAATGGTGGTATAAAAAAAAAATACAGTAGGAGTGGTAATATTGGAGATGGCAAGTCTTGTTTCTGTAATGTCATAGACCAAATGTCATATTTCCTGATGATGGGGTATCGACAGAATAGAGCAGAACCATCTAGAAATAAGCCCATAGTTCCATAGAAGTTGGCCCCATAAGTCTGTCAGGACAACTCTTTTTACACAAAAGGCATCATATTGAAATCCCTTCTCCGTTTGGAGCATTGGCTCCAGAAAGCCAGCGTCGGCGTCAGTGGGGATGCACACATGGAAACAGAAGCTGGGGGTGGCTGTGACAGGAACACTGCTTGTCACAATAACTGCAGACAGCTAGCTCTGTGTTAGAGAGGAGAACCCAGAGGGCAACTCAGAGGGCAAGGGGACACAGAGATGTCCCGGATGACACAGAATGTCCTAGACAGTGGCACACAGCAAAGGGGAAGTAACCTGTGTCTCCTGGTTCTCGACATCCCAGATCAATTGGAATTACATCCAAGGTCAAAAAGATAGTAGATGTCCTTGGAATCAAGTTGAATCATCTCACACCTTAGGGTAGCCTACGGGAGTTTGTTCTCTCCTACTTTGTGGGTCCTGAGGATTGAACACAGGTCACCAAGCTTGCCAGCAAGCACCTTCACTCAATGAGTCCTCTCACCAGCCCTCAAATGCAAAGTTTTGTAGAAGACTTTATCGTGTTGATAATTTTTTAAATTATTATTTTGTGGGTTCATGTGTTCGTGTGCTCTTGAGTGCTGAGGGGAGGGGATGGGGCAGTGCTTGTTGGTAAGTTCCTTTACCTGCTGAGCCATCTTGCTAGTCCCTGAAAATTATGATTCATATTCTTGCATATTTATGGATAATTCTCTAATCTTCTTCCCAGGTCTATAACCAACCTAAAGCGATGCCATATACTAAATATAAAAGACAAAGGTTCAGAACCTCTACCTCTGGCTTCATTTTCTCCAACTTGAGTTGGGGTGTACTGACTTCTTAAGTCACATGCTTTGCTTTGGTTTCTTTCTTTTTATTATTATTATTTACACAGAGTCTTACTATGTAATTTTGGATGGTTTGGAACTTACTGACCAGGCAACTCTGCCTGCCTCTGTCTCCAGAGTGCTGAGCTGAAAGCTTCTGCCCCCACGCCTTACCTGTTTATTTCTCTCACCATTGCTGTGATAAAATATTCTGACCAAAGCAACTTGAGGAAGAAAGGGCTTATTTTAGCCCCCAGTTCAAGGCCCTGTCTCTCACGTTAGGGAACTCACAGGAGCAGGAGCTGAAAGCGGCTGATCATGGGATATCCATAGTCAGGAGAGAGCAGTGAAGGCCTGCCTGCTATTGTTCAGCTCCCCGAGTCCAGGATTCAGTTAGGGGACGGCACCACTCACAGTGACGGGTCTTCCTACTGAATGACAGTCCCTGCCAGGCTTGCTCAGAGGCCATCTCCCAGGTGATTCTAGAGTTTTCTCAGTTTAACGACACTAACCATCACATGCTTTAAAAAAAATATCAAGGCCGGGCGATGGTGGCGCACGCCTTTAATCCCAGCACTCGGGAGGCAGAGGCAGGTGGATCTCTGTGAGTTCGAGACCAGCCTGGTCTACAGAGCTAGTTCCAGGACAGGCTCCAAAGCCACAGAGAAACCCTGTCTCGAAAAACCAAAAAAAAAAAAAAAAAAATATATCAATCTAAGGCTTTTTGTAGGGAGATGGGTTTGAGGCAGGGTAGTAGTCTCTGTGTAGTCTTGGCTGTCCTGGAACTCACTTTGTAGACCAGGCTGGCTTCGAACTCACAGAGGTCTGCCTGCCTCTCCCTCCTGAGTGCTGGGATGTGTGCTACCACCACCTAGCTCTAATCTAAATCTTGGGCTTTTGTCTGACTTCATTTGTTTAATTTCCCTGTTTACTGATTTATATATTTTCTTATTTTATTTTTGATAGTTGCTCACTATGTAGCGCAGAGAGGCCTGGAACTCAAGTTCCTCCTGCCTTAGCTTTGCAAGCACTAGGACAGGCATGCCCCACCAGGCCTGACCTTATTTATTTGTCTCTGTATGTGCAAGCTGGAAAGGAGAGAAAGACAGATGCAGAGACAGAGAGAGACAAAGAGAACCTGTGTAGGCCAAGCTAGCTTCCAACTGTCAATCTTCCCTCAGTCTCCCCTGAACCGTTCCCTCTTTGTCCGGCATTCTCTTCCCTGTCTTCTCTCTTCCTGTTGGTTCTGTCCATCACTGCCATTCTGTCTTAACTTCTCTTACCCCTGACCTGTCCCTGATTACTGTCTGGTTCTCTAGCCTTTCTGCAGCTCCCATCTCCCATCTCTGTCCTTTTCTCTGACCCACAGGACATACCTCTTTGCTCTGGTTCATCATCTTTCCCCCCTGAAGCTCCTTAATTAGAAAATACAAAGGAATAAAGCAGTCAGGCATTTATAATTTTATTATTCAGCAAGATACTTTATTTTTAAGAGCAGATAAGTACTAAAAATAGATTTTTTTTCCCTCCAAAGACCCTAAAAAAAGAAGAGGGGAAAGAACCCTTGCTCACAGTTAGTGTGTTCCTTAAATACTAACTGTAATAATTATTATTTTAGTGATTTCCTGGATCGGCCACAGATGACTTTGTTCATGTAGCTCATTGACCCTTGGTTGGAAAGTCCTTCTCAATTCTTCATAATCCAAGACAGCAGCTGACATCAATGTAAAAAGAGAAAGAAGCTAAAAACAGTTGCATGTGTATGCCCTGAATTGCATATTCAGTTGCAAAATCATCATCATTATTATTGTAATTACAGAGGGGAGGCATTTCAATAATTGTTCAAAGTGTCTTCTTGAGGAAATAAGTAAAATCAGGGCCAGCTGTCACAAGCCAATCCACAATAATGATCCCCGTATGTGCGTCTTCGGGATTCATAACAATCTACAATAACAAATTTGTGCATTCGTCTACTGTCCCTGAACAGCCTAAAAAAAAAACAAGTCTATGATCCGCTCTGATGTCTATCTTGGTAGTTCACTTGGATTTTTAAATAGCATCCTTGAATAACCTTAGCGTCAAAAACTGCCAAACAAAAATTGCATCACCAATTTAATAACAAACAACGGTGGGTAGCCTGGCATCCGTCCACCTGTGACAGGATGGCCACAGACCGAGGTTTCTGAGCCAAAGGGGAAGCCAGGTAGACAGATCTGCAGACAACGGAGACTGTTTGGAAAGACGCATCCACCAAGGCAGACGGGCTCTTTTGGCTTGAAAATTACAAACAGAAACTGTGAAGGCCTTGTTTTCAGCCTACTTGTGAAATCGGCCCCAAGTATTTCAGATTTTGCTCCTCCCAAGATCCAGCTGTGAAATGACTAACAGAAACGAAGTGACAATGTACCAGGAACGGAATGTGCCGCTTCACTGAAGGGAAAAGTTCCCGACAGAGGCCATCCTTGTAGGTTCATACCTATGAGAGACGGCACAGAGAAAGTACTGGACTGCACCGCCCCAAAGGCCGAAAGGCAGATTTATTGGGGATCAAGGCAGAGAGAAAAGCAAAATGGTGGGGAAACAAGCAGATTTTATATGACACCCAGCAGGGTAGGGATCTGAGCTGACACAGACGGGTGGATTGACCCGGAACTAGATGCCCTTGCCTGACGTGGCTGGCATTTGGGGGAAGGGTACAGGCCAAGATTCCTGGTAAACAGAAACCTCCAGAAGAGAGCTGCTTTTCTAGTGAACACAAACCTTCAGGCTTGCTCAAAATCCTTCCGTTTACCCAGCCAAAGTCCTCCTGTTTAGGGCAATGCCACCTGCACTGCCATTTTGGAGGAAGGAGGGTTTTGGACCTGACAATACCCGGGATGCTCTAAAGAGGACCAGCCAAGCACAAGCACAGAGCAATTACAAAGAATGAGAATCATCGAAGAGCCTTCTCAAAATGTCCTCAGATCTCGGTAGCTTTGAATTGTGGCTATATCTCTAATTTCATGTTCTCGAAGAACCTCCAGAGACAGGGAAAGAAAGAGGAGAAGGAAAATTGCTTATCACATTGCTTTTCTCTCGCTGGGCCACTTAGGCTTTTCCAAATCCAAGTTTTGCTGAAGCCTGGGCCTGAGCCAGGAGAGAAGGGTGAATGACCTCAAGCTGCTGTAGGAGCTTGCCAGCTGCTCTGCGGCAGCCTTCTTAGGTGCTAAGAATCATCTTCCTCATCACAATGGCTCAGTACATTTCCATATTTGCACTCCCAGCTAAAAAGCGATTTAAGCAGCGTGCAACCTTATCTCGCTTCAGTAGTTCAGAGATTTCCTTCAAAAGCATCAGAAGGGTCATTGAGAGACATTTGGGAAGTGGTGTTGAGGTATGTTTTGCATATTTTTAATTGTAAAAGTAAGACATGACAATGATGAAAATAAATGGAAACTTCAAAGTGGTTTTGTATAAAAAGACAAAGATGCCCTTGCTTTTATCACAAGTTAAAACTCTGAGAACTATTTCTCAGCCTATATTTTCCATATAAGGATATAGAATGCATACAATATTTCTATGCAGGGTGATTATGTAAATATACAGTATCTTATATGCTGTATCTAATAATATGTCAGCAAAATTACATGGCAGCACATGGAGATCGTGTAGTCACTATCTGTGCCATAAAGCCGACCACTGCCTAATTAATGGACATTTAAATTCTTTGCATTTTATACTATTATTATTACAAATAATGCTCTCACGAATAACCTTATATTTAGAAACTTCTGTTGTGACTTTATCCATAGAATAAATTACTTCAAAGAAATTTCTGGATCATAATATATGTACATTTAACATTTACACTCAATGACAACTCTTCCTGGCCCAGCATGTGCCAGGTCCTAGGTTCAAACACACACAATTAAATGCTTCCAAATTGCAACCTTCCCACATTGTCCTGATTCAGCTTCCATAGTAGGGTACATCCACTGAACTTTGCTAAAAACCACATTTTATTGAACTTAAACATCTGTCACTCAGCCGGGCGATGGTGGCGCATGCCTTTAATCCCAGCACTCGGGAGGCAGAGGCAGGCGGATCTCTGTGAGTTCGAGACCAGCCTGGTCTACAGAGCTAGTGCCAGGACAGGCTCCAAAGCCACAGAGAAACCCTGTCTCGAAAAAACAAAAACAAAAACAAAAAAAAAAATCTGTCACTCAGAAGCATGAGTATGTTCTCACGGCTTGCATTTTTCTAAGCTGAACATGTTTTCCAAGGGATTTTGACCACACCTACTTTTTTTTCCTTTTCTTTTTTTAAAGATTTATTTACTTCTTTTAATTATGCATACAATGTTCAGTTAACATGTACACACCAGAAGAGGGCACCAGATCTCATTATTGATGGTTGTGAGCCACCATGTGATTGCTGGGAATTGAACTCAAGACCTCTGGACAAGCAGCTGGTGCTCTTAACCTCTGAGCCATCTCTCCAAGCCCCTACACCTACTTTTTGTTTGTTTGCTGTTGTAAGACAAGTCCTCCTTCTGTAGCCCTGGCTAGCCTGGCACTCAGAGCAATCTGCAGCCTGCCTCAACTTCCCCTCAGGCCTGGGATCGAAGGTATGTTCCAGCACATCGACACCATTCTTATTTTTAGGACGTGAAGTATTTGTTCACATTCTTTGCCCATGTCTCTGCTCATTTTGTTTTTTGGTAGAATTGTGAAACTAAGATCTCCTTGCATACTGCAGAAGTACCTTTTCTGTCGGATCGCAGAGAATCTCTCCCCTCTCCATTTGTCTTTGGCTCTCTCTGTTCACAGTGTTTTTCTGCTGCTGCTCTTGTTGTCATTATCCTCATTTTCATCATGTTAAGGTTTTAAATGTTTGACATAAATTCATTTATCAGCACTTTCCTCTTTGGCTTTCTGAATTTGCTTGTGTTTTCTTGAACTTAAAATAAGTCGTCTTGCAGTTGGGCCTCTTTGTAGTATCGTTTGATTAGAATTCTATTGTGTCACATGGTACAAACTAAGACATTCTTCTGGGTATAGTGGCATACATCACTGATTCCAGAATCTAGGAGGCGAAGGCAGGAGAACTGCTGTGAACTCAAGGCTAACGCGGGCTACGTAACAGGACCTGAGCTCGGTAAACATGGGGCTGGGGAGATGGCTCAGTCGGTAAAGTGCCTACCAAAGCATGAGGACTGCAGTTTGGATCCCCAGAAGTCACATAAGAAGCTCGGAGAGGTTGTATACATCTATAACTCAAGCACTAGGAGGATGGAGACAGGGAGGTCCCTGTAGCTCTTAGCTGGCCAAGCTAGCCAGTGAGCACCAGGTTTGGTGAGAGACCCTGCCTCAAAAGTTAAGAGGAAGCCATCAAAGAAGACATCAGCCTCTGGGCTCTCTGCTCACACATGCAATCTCTCTTTCTCTCTCTCTCTCTCTCTCTCTCTCTCTCTCTCTCTCTCTCTCTCTCTCTCTCTCTCTCACACACACACACACACACACACATGCACAAGAAATTAGGTTTTATTGTGGAAAGAAAAAATTGACAAAGCAAGTATCATTAAAAGAAGATACAGAGACTCCATGGTTCATTGTTGCTTGGGTGTCTGGTCAGAGAATGGTTTATATCCCATTTAACGGACCCCATCTCTCTCTTTTACATGCATAGGAATGAGATCCACTTCCTTAGGGAAAGGGATAAGGGAAAGGGACTATGTTGACCCTGGGCAGCCTGGATTTTGGTGCCTGTTTACCAGAGTTGCCTGGAAAACCCACATACCTTGCCCAGTGTTGGATTTCAGAGGCAGCATAGAGGCTGAAAGCAGGAAGAGACTAGGGTCTGATCTGAACAGATGAGGCAAGTCTGTTTATTAACACGCATAGCAAGGGACAGCCCCTCTCCCTTGGGAAATGGAAGGATCTGCCAAGAGAACCAACTGGCTGGGACTCTTTATAGAGGATTGGGGATGAGGAAACAGTTGATGCCACCATGGGGGCTCCAAGGCACTCTATCGCCGCACTTAGACTTTTGGTGGGATATTTATTACACAAGGAACAAGAAGCCAGTAACCTCCAGGCACATCCACCCATCCCCAGGCCCTGCCTCAGTCTAGTCCCATACACACGGTTTGAGCTAGCTCATTGCTCAGGCAACTCCAAAGGGGGAACTCAGACTCATTTAAGGCAGCCTGTTCCTTCTATTGTATCAGGTTAGTAAGGAGTCATGAAGTAGAGATGACTCCCCAACCCCAGCTTTTTATTTTGAAGACTCTGAACTCCACAAAGCTTGAAAAAATCCAACAAATGACCAAATGACTCTGTATTTTTCATCTCTGTTCAGCTACTGTTTATATTCTTTTCACCTTTGCATTATCTCTTCCTATGATTAGGCATGCTTGTCCATTTGAAAATAAGTTGAATATTGAAATTTTTAATTGGCATCTCACTTAAAATAATCCAGCATACATCTTCAAAGACTAAGGGTATTCAATATAACTATAATACCATTTAAGACTTGGGAAAATTAGCAGTGATTTAATAATATCTTTAAGTTCATATTAAAAGTCTACAATTGTCTAAATTCCTTATATAAACCTTTTCCCCTTTCTCTTTGTCTCAAAGACCAATCTTTGATGTAGGAGGGTCTTCTATCTATCTGTTGTTTCATTGGTTAATTAATAAAGAAAACTGCTTGGCCTGATAGGTCAGAACATAGGTAGGCAGGGAAGACAGAACAGAATGCTGGGAGAAAGAAAGCAGAGTCAGGCAACCACCATGAAGCTCCGGCCCAAGATGGATGTGGGTTAGAATCTTCCCGGTAAGCCATGACCCCGTGGTGATACAGAGATTACTAGATATGGGTTAAAGCAGGATATGAGAGTTAGCCAAGAAGAGGCTAGATATAATGGGCCAGGAAGTGTTTAAATGAATACAGTTTGTGTGTTGTTATTTCCGGGGCAGGAGCTGGGCAGGATGAAAAGCAGGCCTGCTCGCCTCATCACTACAAATCTTTGATCTTTCTTTCTTCTTTCCTTCCTTTCTTGCTTTTTCATGCTTGCTTGCTTTCTCTTTTTGACAAGGTCTCAAGTAGCCCAGGCTGACAGTGAGGCTCCCCCCACCCCTGCCATGGATCCAAGGATGGCCTGGAACTCCTGGTCTTGCCTCTTCCAGCCTCTGAGTGCTTTGCAGATGGGCACCACAACCCCCAGTTTATGTCCTGCTGAGGCTGGAAGCCAGGACTGTGTGCATGTCAGGCAAGCAGTCTACCAAATGAGCTAGAGCCCCAGCCGCTGGGCTAAGACCTTGACATTGCATTTGATTCTTTTTAGAGAAATCTCGTGTCTTGAGATGGACACTTAGCAATACCCACTGATATTTTTGATCATGGGGTGCTTCCGACATTGTATTAATTAATTTTCTGTTGCAATAACAAGATACATAAGGCCGATACTCTATAACGAGGTTTATTCGATTCATAGTTTTGGAGGCTGAAAGTCCAGGATTAATTAGATGATCATATCTGTTTGGTCAACTCCTAAATAAGAATTTCAACTTGTTTAAAAGTTAGACGTTTAGACAGGATTACTCCAACACACCCACCTCCGTAGAACCTATTTCTGTCACCCACTAAGTCAGGGCTCTTGTTTTTCTCCCTGGAGAGGTTTCATGATTGTTCCCCAAGGGAAAAGACTCATTATCATTCCTAAAGTGCAGCCGAAGTGAATGCTGTCATCTGCTGAGAATTCTGCTGTATATATATTTAATTGTCACAGCAACTCCGTACACAAGTAGTGTTGCTACATATTATGAAGGAGAAACCGGTGGCTTAAAAGGAGATTCTAGAAAAATCATAGCCTTCGGGAATGGATGGTTTGAAATCTGCATCCTCTATTTGATTCTGGATCTGGGGCCTCTATAGACTTCATTTACTTATCTGTACCATGCCAAAGATGAGCAACTGGCCTCATAGGTTGAAATGTCTGCCTGCCTGGCCTAGAGTAGATGTTACTAGCTCTGGATATATCCCAACCATAGGTTAGAACTCCTGGGTCATGATAGATAAGCCATAGTACTACAGAGTCCATGAGTCCACGAATCAGGAGTTGATCAAAGTCATTAATTCAGATAATTTTACCTACACTTCAGTGGAAGTTTAACTTTAGAGGTATTTGGGGAAAAAGAGTTTGCTGGTCAATCCCTTAGGTAATATTGTGATTATGACCATTCAACTTCCGGGAAGAATTAGGGGAGGACCTTTAGCATGCCCACCAGGAAGCTCTTTGGAAATTAATCTCTAAGACACTCCAACTTTGTTTACCCCAAGACAGTGTGATCATCCCCTCCACAAATAACAAAGGGATGTGTTCTAAGAGAGCATAGAGGAAATCTCATCCTTATGAGACTATGGCTGAGTCTGCTTACACAAGCTCAGATGGCTGCCGTGTTACTACACCATATAATCTTGTGGGTCATTGTTACTTATGCACTCCGTTTCCAATATATTTTATTTTTAATTAATTGTGTGTGTGTGAAAGAGAGAGAGAGAGAGAGAGAGAGAGAGAGAGAGAGAGAGAGAGAGAGAAGAGTATTTATGTCCAACGTGTGCAGGTGCCCATGGAGCCCAGAAAACATGAGATCTGGGGTTGGAGTTACAGGCAACTGTGAATTTGTGCTAGGAGCTGAGCGTAGGTCCTATGGGAGAGCATGCTCTTAACCACTAAGCTCTCTTGCCAGCACCCCATTCACTTCATTTTTAACCCAAATATTACTAGGAGGTACATGATTATGGTATTAAGGACCACTATGTTTCATGAAATGTTCTAGGCACCTAGGGTACATCAGAGACTAAAACAGCTATTCTTTCTTTTTATTTGGGATAGATGGGTGAAAAAGCAACAAATTTGTAAATTACATGCAAAAAAAAAGTAAGTGCTAATGACAAAACCCTTTAAAGTTCGGATAGGCCATTCTAATTTTAAATTAGGACATGCAGTCATTTAAAAGGCAATACTGGGCATGGTGTGGTGGTACCTACCATCTTTAATCTCAGCACTTGGGAGTTCAATGTCAGTCTGGTCTACACAGCGAATTCCATGTCAGCCAGGGCTATACAGCGAGACCCTGTCTATAAAATCAGAGGGCGGAAGGGTGATCCTGGAACAACATTTGATGATGATTAATAATTAGCATCCATCCTCCCATCACTTTTTAAACTTTTAGGGCTGGCAAGGTAGCTCAGTGCTTAAGAACACATCCCGCTCTTGCCGAAGGTCCAGGTTGGGGCCCTACCACACATATCAAGGTTTTACAACTGCCTGTAACTCCAGACAACCAGACCCCCTCTCCTGGGCTCTGTGGACGCCTGCATGCCCATGTGTATATACACAGACACGCACACATGGGCAGACATTAAGAAAGAACCTCTGCCGTCTTACAGGGATGACTTTATGCAGCCCCAGCTCCTCTGCATTTTCTGTGTCTTCTGAAAGCTCCCAAGCATCGTCCTACTTTGAAGGTGGAAAGAGCAGGTGGCAGTTTTAGATACATCCTGTCTGTACGCCAACAGGAAGGGGTTACCATGCTGCTTTCTTAGGGCCTCATGTGTCCCCTAAAGGGAGCAACCAGCAAGAGTGGGACTCCATGACCATGTGACCCCGAGGGAGGCACTCGCCCCTGAAAACAACTGAAGGACTCAGCTAGAAAACCTCGTCGTATTCAGTAGACACTTAGGGGCAGCACAGGACAGTTTGTCTGGGTGGGAGACTATTGGTGACGTCACACAAGAGTCTCAGAGTTGGATGAAAGGACAGTGAAAGCTGTGGTTTATTTAGCCTCTACCGAGCGGAGACAAATGCTGTCCAGCATGCACCGACTAAGGCGTAGCGAGGGCCGGTAAACTGTCCACCGCACACACAGGGTGACTTAAGCACAGTACAGCCTGGCTCCAGAGCCCGTGCTCCTACCTCATTAGTCAATGCTGTCTAGGAGTAATCAGATATGGATTATAAATTGCTATTGTTTCTGGAGCCCTCAAAAGACTGTCTCTCTGGAATGGTTCCAGTTCTGAGTTTCCAAGTGCCTGCTGGATAGAACTGTATTTTCTACTCCTATCTCCGGCTATCTCTCAGGCATGCCTCCAGTGCTTGCCAGAGTCCCTTTCTACTACCTCCCAAACTTTCCGTTGCTTATTTTGTCCGGCCTGGGACATGCTCCGCTTGTAGCCCGCATAGTCCTGCAACCAAGAGCTGCTGCCCTTCCCACCCCGCCCCTCTCACACAGAGAGCAATTGGACTCAGCTGGTTCTGGTGTAGGTTTCTAAGTCTCTGTCCTCCTCAACCCAGGTTAAAAGCTGCACTGTAGCTCGCTAAGTGGGAACAGGTAATGTGACCCAGCATTGACAGAAAAAAAGGTGGTATGGACTTTGATCACTGGGAACGAGGAGAGGAGAGGCCCCAAGAAGCTGATTCTCTTGTCTTTTCCCTCCCAAGCACTTACCTGAGGCACGGTTTCATCCCCTAGCACAGTGATATTCTGCAAAGCCATTGGAGCAGGCATTCCATCTTTCTGTGGCTTCTGAAGCACCCTTGGGCAGAATTGCCTTGTCTTCTTGCTTCCCCTTTCCTCTGACACTCGCTGCCCTGGGATTGCATCTCCTAAATAAAACATTGGTATTACGATTTAGTTTGAGTTCTATTTTTCTAGAAAACAGGAACTAAAGAAAATATTCAAGTTCAAGTTCTCTTCATGGGACTACTGCTTCTTACATTCTCTTGGGTGTGTTCCAAAATGTAACCATTGATAATAATGTCTTTCATACACTCACACAAAGATAAAAATAAATCTTTAAAGACCATACTGTCATTATCAGTACACCTAGTGGTATTTGTGTACTTCCCTTAAAAAACGTGCCATGTGATTGAAAACTATTGAAAGAGTCCTTGGTGCTAAAAACAAATTCAAAGCCAGGAACTCATGACTGGCCTTGCTCCTGAGTGTCTCATAGGAACCTTCCCCTTGCCCAGGTTCGGACCCCATTATTCTCATTTAGACTATTATAATTGCTTTTAAATTTATCTTTGGTCACACTGACTACTGCCATCAAGTATGTAGTCCTAAAACTGATTTTATCTTGCTCCGCCTTGTCCAAAAACCTTTAGCAATGTCTCATGTTCGGAAAACGATGCCCAGGGATCCTTCTAAAAGCACTCTCTGGTAACTCATAACAGAAGCCTGGTGCTCGGAGACCTCTGTAAACTGTTGACCAAGCCAGGTAGACCCCTTTAAGGAAAGGATCTGAATCATACTGGAGGGAGTCAGGTATTGTGGGCAGAAGCTAAACGGTACATGAAAAACAATACCTACAGTCAGGTGGCAACAGACACCATCGGGTAATAGAAGCTGAGGTAGAAAAATAATAATAGAAAGTACCGTGAAACAACGTCACCGAGGCAGGAGTCGTGACAGCAAGACCTTAGCAGCTACCGAAACAGCACCTCACTGTGGAACGACCCACAGGGATGGCTGAGTTGTATGCTAGATCCAGTGTCCAACTTAGCTTGTGGTAACCTGGGTTTAGCTCTGTTCTAGAAATGAAAACATTGCCTCTTGAGATTTCTGTCAACCCAGATCATGGCAGGAACCTGAAGACATAATCAACCAAGACTGAAAATAAGGTGGAGAGGACATATTTCGACGACACAGGCAGAGTTATGGTGGAAGAAGCCAGGGCTGAAGAGAAGAGAGAGATGAAAACCCAGATGAGCAGGAACTATGGAGGAATACGGTTTCGTTGGGAGCACCAAAAGCACCCTGCTAAAGAAAGGAGAAACCTCAGCTCTTCCTCCTACTCCTTGATACTTGCTAATGTCTCCCATTGGACAGCCCGAGGGTTAACCAGAGGGCAATGGAACCCAGGTGACACAGCATGGGAGTATCAGGTTATCTGATACAGTCCAGGGCAGAGAATAGTACGGTGGTTCCCTGTTCTCTCCATAAATGCCCACAGCCTAGCTCCAGAACCCAAGGGTGCCTACTACATTCTGTGACAAAAGATGAGATTGCAATTGAGGGTCCTGAGAGGCTAATCCCACATCTGGCTGGGTCCTCTGTGCAGGCACACACATTCTTACGAGGGAGTAACAGGAACCCTACACAGCAGACGAGGAGGCGGTGTGACCACAGAAACAGACTGGACTGGAGTGGCCACAGGCCAAAAGGAAGCCTGAGGCTATTGGTAACTGGAAGAAGCCAGGGACAGATTTTTCTCCCCACCCCCAAGCCTCAAGAGATGCCGACCCTGCCCAAACCTTCATTTCATTTGTGGCCTCCGGAACTGTGAGAAAATAAAATTCTGTTGTTTTAAGTCAACCAGTTTGTACTAATTTGTTACAGCAGTCGCAAAAACACCAACAGAGGCCAAAGGAACAATAAACAGCCCAGCCTCTATTCATCTCATAGCATGCTGATGTCCACAGTCCTGTTGGCCGGACACTCTTTCACTTACTGTCTGTATTCCATGTGGAGTTTCTGCTAGGATCCTTCCCATGCACCACAGGCTCCCAAAGCACAGTGGCTTTCACGGGCCAACATCTTTTCATTCAAGTAAAAGTATGACTTTGAGAGCAAGAACCAGTCTCTCATACCTTGGGAGCACATCAAACTCCTCACACATTTCTTTGAGCGGAGTAATTGGTGAATGAGAGAGAAAGCTTCCGTTTGTAAATGGAAAATAACAGCCACGAACTTTGCCTCTCAGAGGTAATGACGGCAGTGTTTCCCGAAAACAGTTCCTGTACCTGTAACAGAGATGATACATCTGAAGTTCTCGTTCCTACTAGAACAATTCCTTAGGAAAAAGAAATTACCTTTCATTTTAGTGAGTCCTCTGTTCCACACTGAACTAACCTGCCAGTAGTTCACCCAAGGAAGACGAGGCCAGGAATTAAAACACAGCAGCCGGCTGGAGGTATGGTGCGATGGTAGAATGATTTGCCTAGTGTGTTTGAGGCCCTGGGAAATTCTACCTGCCTCTTAGCACTGAAAAAATAAAATAAAATCAGCACACAAGCAAGCAAACAAAAAGAAAAACTTGAGACTGAAATACAAGCGCCAAGGAACCATGACTCATATAATAAACGTTTATTAAAGAACTATGATGCCAAAATACAGTCTATAGATGCTGAGGAAATGCAATAAGGCACAATTGCAAGGAAGCAATTATCACAACATAAGATGAATGCTTGTGTGTGTGTCTGTATGTGTACTTCCATGTATGCAGAAGGATGTCAAGAGTCGTCCTCAATCACTTTCCACCTTTTTTTGGTATGAGTGTGTGTGTGTGTGTGTGTGTGAGAGAGAGAGAGACAGAGAGACAGAGAGACAGAGACAGAGACAGAGAGACAGAGAGAGAGACAGAGAGAGACAGAGAGAAGGTCGAGAGAGAGAGAGAGAGAGAGAGAGAGAGAGAGAGAGAGAGAGAGAGAAAGGGTCTCACTGGTCCCAGAGCTAGACTAGCAGACTAGGAAGCCCCAGGGATCTTCCTGTCTCCCTTCTACAGTGCTGGGATTATAGGTACACACTATCAGGCCCAGCTTTCTACATGGGTCGCTGGAGATCCGAACTTAGGTCCTCACACTTGTGCAGCAAGCCTTTCACGGAGCCACCCCCGCCCCCATGAATGCTTTTTATAAGAGCAAAATGCTAGGGGCTCAGAAAGAAGGGAATGGCTAACTCTAAAGATGGGAGTCTCGCTCCCAAGGAGCTGCTTTCAAACGGGTTAGGATTTCATCAGGCAGAGGCAAAGTCTGGCGCATTCCAAGACCAAAAGCAACAACTGCCTGTGCCTTTGCCAAGCAAACCACACCCTGTTCAGTCCTATTGTGTCCGCAGAGGCCTATTTTTATGCATTGTTTTCATAGCCACTTTTTTAAGGCAAAAAGAGAATGGGAGCTAAGTCCCTTCTTTGAAATCGGGCATTTTATAAGTCGAAGAAAGGAGACTCTGAGGAGGGGCTGTAGAGGTTGACTTCCGGTGAGTCCAGAATCCATCCAAGGAGTAGAAATGGAAGCTCTTCCCTTCCTGTTTCCTAAAAACTGAGCTGAGGCTGCCCCAGTGTGTTGCAGCAGGTCCTTCTCAGCTCAGAAGAAAGCAGAAGGGAATGAGAACACCCCAACCACAGGCACTGTTTTGTGTCTTGACCAGGACTGAGGGTTCTACTTCCTCCTCTCTATTGCCCTTCAGATCCCTCTGGGAGAGCAGGCACCACCCCAGCCTCCCTCACAGACAAGCCCGGCTAGGCCTCTGAGACCAGCACTAGCTGCTTGTGAGTAGGAGGGGGAAAAAAAAAAAAAACCTCTTGGGAAAGCAGCCAGGACAGAGGAAGGTCAGCAGACACCTACCCAGGGGCACGGGGGTCCCCATCCTCACGGTGGAGCATCCACTGGGGAGCAGTGATGTGGGAAACTAGCATCCCACTCAGCATCCCTCATCCTTGTTTTCCCAGGACGGCTCTACCTTGCAGACCCTGCCAGAAGGCCCGCGGCATTTTCGTGAAGCAGTAACAACAAGGACGGAGCGTTCTAGCCTGCCAGAGCCTGCTGGCTGGTCACTCTTTCCACTGCCTTTTGTTTCCGTGCATCATTCCTCTCAGTTGCTTCTCGGATTCCTCCAGGCTTTGAAAAAGCCACAGCAACACCACCCAGTGGGCTGGCAGGCATCTCCGACATGCACCCTGCCCTAAGCATTGGTGGTGCGTATAAAGGGCTTCCAGAAAGGGGCCACCTCCTATCAGCGTAGCTGGCACAGGTAGGGCTGTAAGTACCACGCTGCGGACTGGCAAATCACATCCTATTGTCTTATTCAAATGCGTCTGCAGTGTCGGGTGTGGTGGTGCACATCCGTAATTCTAGCTCTTGAACAGCTGAGGCAGGAGGATGGCACTTTCTACACCACCTGTCTCAAATTTAAAAAAAAAAAGAAAAAGAAAATTGAAAAGGGAAAAACAAAGAAAAATATATCTGCAAGGTTTGTTGCGCACACTTTCTTTCTTAAATGATGCAAGCACAGCCAACACGGATGTGTCTAACCAAACAGAGAAGTTTCACTATGACAGTTCCGATGTGAAATGTCTTCCACGGTTCCCGTGTTAACACTTGGTGCCAGCTGGTGGCGCTGTTTCGTGAGATTGTCAGGCTGGCAGAGGTGAGTCATTGAGGGCGGGGTTCTGAAGGTTACTGCGTAGCCTGGTTTCCTATTGAGCTCTCTACTTCCTGGTCAGTCACAATGTGAGTCATCTTCACAAAGACCAACCAACCGCAATGCCATGGCCTCCCCTCCATAGGTCACCCTATTGCCCGAAGCCATGAACCAACATACAACTCTCCTCCCTTAAGCTGATCCCAGTGACATTCTCTTGTCAATGTGTATGCATGCCTATTCGGAGCAGAGAAGCTCTCAGCTCCTCAAAATCATCTGAAGCCTGTTTGCAGTCATATTCTTAAGCTACCATACAGGAATCTGAGAGGATGACCCAGGAAGATGCTTACTTCCCAATTCTTTAAAAATATTTTACATGTTTTTATAAAGTGTGGAGGTCAGAGGACAACTCGGGGAAGTCGGTCCTCTCTTCTCACCTCATGGGTCTGGGGCATCAAACTCACATCATTAGGATGGGTGGCACTCGCTCCGGCTTCATGTTGACTTTAAAAACTTGATGGTATCGGTTTTCAATGTGGAGCAAGACACATTCTTTTTTTGTTGTTCGTTTGTTTGTTTTTTGAGACAGGGTTTCTCTGTGGTTTTGGAGCCTGTCCTGGAACTAGCTCTGTAGACCAGGCTGGTCTCAAACTCACAGAGATCCTCCTGCCTCTGCCTCCTAAGAAGACACATTCTCATAAGTCATTGATGAGAGGAAAAAATTGGATAAGTTAATGTTCCGGGTAACCTCCAAAGACATCTGGTAAAGTCAAAAGTGCATATCCATTTCCTGGTAATGTCCACCCTAACTTATACCCCACATCCCTACCTGGGTCTCAGGGGACTGACACAAGAATGTGGGTGATAGGAAAACCTGAGATCCCCACGCAAACAAACAAACAAACAAACAAATAAACAAAAAAAAAACAAAAACAAAACTATTGACATAATGAATTTCTACTTCTGGGAGACAAGGGTCTAAAATAGTTAGACAACGGGCTAATAGTATTTCATGAGAAAAGGGCTGTGGGAAAGTATGTGTAGTGTTTATATACATCCTTGACACTCTAAGCTAATACTTTGTATAGTTAAAAGTATCTTTAAGAAGTTGGTTACTTCTGGGAAAGTTGAGATGCAAAGGACTTTGAAAACTAGACATTTTATTTAAAAATATTAAAAGGACACGAGGGAGGCAAAGGCAGATGGATCTCTGCATTCAAGACCAAACCTGGTCTACAGAGGGGTTCCGGACCAGCCAGAGAGTTACATGATAATCCATGTCTTTAAAAAAAAATACATAAATAAAAATTTTTAAAAATTTCTGGATAACGGATTATATGCCCTACAAGTGACACCGAGGAGCCTGGACAGCATAGCAAAAGGTTCTCCTTGGAATTCTTACTTATGAAAAGTAAGCATTTGTTTTATATAGTGAGTTATCTCCATAAACATGCTGATAAAAGCACGAATGCACGCTCTTAGAAATGCGTACAATAGACGTGGCTCTCGTTAGTGGAGAAGCCAGACAGGATCACTTACCCAGATACCCTTGTGACCTGCACCCCCGAGTGTCCTGGAAAGAACTGGAGATACAGTAGACGGAGAGAGATACTAGACCATATGTGAATATAATTATAACCATATCCAGAAATTCCCAACATTGGCAGAAAATTAGATAAAAATGTTAACGCGGCTGTCCGTGCCTCCTCATCTGAGAGCATGACACAGCAGCCCTGGGCCGGGGAGCCTGGGATCTGTACTTTAGAAGGCTTTCCAAGAAGTTCTGATGATCGGCCAGGCTTGAGAAACAGCAGCCACCTCTGGTTATGGTCTACCAGTGTTTCTAGAGAAAGTGGGCTGGAGAAAATAAAGAAAAAAAAGGAAGGAGAAAGGGGAGGTGCAAGGAAGGCATGGCCTTCCTACTCAGTCTCTTCCAGGCTGCTCCAGCTCTGAATTGTCTTTTCAGAAGTCTACCTTTCTCTAATACTCATTCGGCAATTCCATACATCCCTGTTTGTTCCAAGCATGGCCACTGTTGAATCCAGTAAGCTTAACCTATGTTATAAGCATCTTAGACCATCTCTGTATGTCTTATAATGCCTAATACAGTGCCTCAGTGAGTAAGCAGTAATGAATCATAATTAAAAATACATCAAGTTCAGAAATGTGTTAGGATATGAAATAAATGTGCAAAACCAATTGTATTTTTATAAGCTAGTAATGATATCCATTGCAATTCCTATCAAAATTTCAACATCTTTTCTTCTGCAGACACTGACAGGCTGGATAAAAGTCATATGGAAGAATAGCTGAGAATAGGCACAGTAGCCTTGAAAAAGAACAAAGACGGAAGAGGAGTATTTCAGAGCCTATATAATGTGATATAAGGTATGAGGGTAGCTACAGAAACCAGCAAAACTTGATGGTATCGAGATAAATCCACATTATGGTCAGTTTTAGACAAGGTGCCAAAGCGACTTAATAGGGGAAATATGTTGGGTTTTGCTTGTTTATTGGGCTTTGGCCCTGGGTCTGAGCCTCCTCTGTGCAAGGTAGGCACTCTCCCTCTGAGCTATACCCTTGCCCTTCGGTTTCACCGTTCATTTGGACACAGAATATCACTAAATTATCTGCTGGCTTCGAACTCCTGTATCCTGGGCTGGTCTTGAGCTCGCAATACTTCTGCCTCAGGAGCAGCTAGGATTACAGGTCTTGTGGTGTGGGCCCAGTTAAAACTATTTTTTTCAAAAAATGGTGCTGGGACAGCTGATTATCTACAGGCAAAAAGAGTAAAGTGGGACTCTCTGCACTACACTCTTCCCCCCAATATTATTTAAAGTACAGAATGTATGCATGAAAATGACACAATGAAACCCATTGATTCGTACTCTAATTGAAAAATTAATAAAGTACTAATTCACCATGAATCATTGACCTAAATGTAAGAATTAAAATGATACTTTTCTTTCTATTTTTTTTTTCTATGGTGTCTTACTATGTAGCTTGGCTGACTTGGAACTTGCTATGTGGAAGAGATTGGATTGAAATGTAATGATCCTCCTGTCCCTGTCTTCTGAGTGCTGAGATTACAGGTGTGTCCTACTGTGCTTGGCACAAAACTAAAATTTCTTCCTAGGATAGAGATTCAGCTCAGTGGCAGAACATGTGTCTAGCATGTAGGAGGCCCTGGGCTCAATCCACAGCCAAATAAATAAGTACCTCCGCGAGGAAGCAAAGGTGCAAGGGAATCTTGCAAAAATCTTTGCAAAACCTTGCAAAAAAGGGAATTTAAAAGAAAAGTGTCAAGAATTTTTAAAAAATGGACTAATTGGATTTTAAAAGTAAAAAAATTTCTGCTTCATGGGTCAGTGAGATAGTTCAAGGGGAAAAATAAACAGACTTGATGTGTAAGCCTAATAACCTCCCTTCAATCCTCAGAGCCCACAGTGGACAAAGAGAACTAATTCCCACAAGTTGTCTTCTGACCCCCACGCATGTACCATGGTGTGCTCCCACATAGATATACACAAAGAACTGGTGAGGGAGGTCCTTCTATATATGTGTTGCTTTTATTGGTTAATGAATAAAGAAGCTGCTGTCAGCCAAAGACTTAACGGAATATAGCCAGGCTGGAAAGATATATAGAAAGGGTAGGCAGAGTCAGGGAGAAGCCATGTAGCCACCATTGTAGACAGATGTGCCGAACCTTGCCTGTAAGCCACAGCCATGTGGTGATACACAGATTAATAGAAATGGGTTAATTTAAGATGTAAAAAAAGAGCTTGCTAGGAATATGCTAGAGGCTTTGGCCAAGCAGTATTGTAATTAATACAGTTTCTATGTGAATATTTCAGGTCAGGGCATCTGAGAACAAACAAACAGCCTCTGACAACAAAGAATAATTTAAAAAACACTGTTGTGTTTCAAAGAACACGATCAAGAAAATAAAAGGGCAAATTACAGAATTACAGATAAGCCTTTGCAGATATATGACAAGGACCTTATATCCAGAGTACAGAAAACCTATCAAAACTCCATCATAAAAGAATAACCCAATGAGCCTGGCAGTAGTGATGTACACTTTTAATCTCAGCACTCAGGAGGCAGAGACAGGTGGATTCTCTGTGAGTTTGAGGCTAGCCTGGTCTACAGAGTGAGTTCCAGGACAGCCAGGACTGTTATATAGAGAAACTTTGTCTCAGAAAAAAAAAATAACCCAATGAAAAACATCAGCAAGAAATCTGAATAAACACTTATCAGAAAAATTGATACAATTGGCCCATGCAGACAGATGCTTAGCTTTCATTAGGAAAGCACAAGTCAAAACCCCAGACACAATCTTCACACCCACACGAATGTCCCTTGTTAGTGAGACTATAAAGAAACTGAAATCTTCATATAATGCTGAGTACTGAGTCCTGAAAAGGCTGAATGACATGGAAATTCTTTTCTAGATGTACATATGTGCGTATAGATATATATACACCAAAAGAAATAAAAATGTGTACATTTGTATTATGTACAAATATTTGTATGTAAATGTTCATAACAACATTATGTATAATGGACATAAAGAGAAAGCAATTCATGTTTATAAATTGAAGAATGGATAATCAAAATCTGCTATAACCATATAAAAACAGACATATTGGTAAGTACTACAACGTGGGGGAAACTATGAAAACACTATGCTAAATGAAGGAAACTGGTCACGGAAGATGACACGTTAGGAACTAGCCATGCCATAGCTTCACAATGTGCAAGTCCAGAGACGCAGACAGTAGTAGATTAGTGGCTCCCCGAGGGTAGGGACTGGGATGAGTCATGACATCTGTGAATACAAGGCTTCTTCACAGGTCTGGAAATTGTCTTGGATTGGGTAGTTGAGATAGACGTACCAGTCTGAAAATACCTTTAAAACAACGAGCTGTACATTTAAATAGGCAGCTTTTATAATATGTAAAATATTACCTCAATAGCTATAAAAGAAGTAAAAACTAGATAACCCAGTTGCGTGTTGAAGGTCAATTACTGTTCCTGCCCCTTAGGACCTTGACATTTGTGGCCTCACTGAGTATTTGTATTGTCACGGTCTTAGCTACTTTTCTATTGCTGTGATAAAACACCATGACCAAGGCAACTTCTAGAAGACAGTTTGGGCTTATAGTTCCAAAGTGATAAGAATCTCATGAGGGAATCATAGCCACAGACAGCAAACATGGATGAAGCAACAGCCGGGAACTCATATCTCTAACCATAAGCAGGAAGCATTCACAAACTGGGAATGGCTTGTGGCTTTGAAATCTCACCCCCACCCACCCAGTGACATACTTCCTCCAGCAAGGCCACACCTCCTAAACCTACCTAAACAGTGCCACCAACTTAGCAGACACGTATTCAAATATCTGAGCCTCTACGGACATTCTCATTCAAACCATGACAATCAACTTCTCATCATTTAGGTCTCCTTCATTCTCTATCCGTTGGGTGGTTGTCCCCATTCCTGATGATCACTATGGTGATGGCTTAAATGAGATGTCCCCCATAAATCTTTGTTGGTGGCTGTTTGGGGAGGATTAGGAGGTGTGGCCTTGTTGAAGGAATTCTATCACGGGGGCAGGCATTGAGGTTTCAAAAGACTTACGCCATTCCCAGTGAGTTTCTCTGCCTCCTGCTTGCAGACCAAGATGTGAGCTCTGAGCAAGCTATACCTGCAGTCAAGACTTTGTTGTACCATTGATCCTCTGAAACCATACAGCCCAATTAAATGCTTCCTTCTGTAGGTTGCCTTGGTCATGGTATTTTGTGGCAGCAACCAAACAGTAACTAATACAACTAGCAGTAACCCTGTCTTGTTTTTCCTGTAGCATGAGTCACTATCTGAAATGATCTCATCTTTGAGTTTGCTGCTCCCTTGTTTGTCTCCATGAGAACAGAATCCTTACCTGAGTTAGCTGTGGCTGCCCCTTACGTCGGTGACAGTGCCTGACATGCAGTAAGCATGCAATAATGTTTGTTGTATGTTGCATGAATGGAAGGTGGCTAGTCACCAAGCTTCCCTTAATCTCTCTAAATCTTCATTTTCTAGTGACAAAACGGCCTAATAATAACTGTACTCAGCCCATAAATAATCATGCATGCAAAAACACAGCTCGTTACAGATATTCAATGGACACGAATTCCACACCACCATTAACCTATACTTAAGGTGGCCACCTGAGGATAACAATCACCTGAAATGAGCTACTTTCCCTGGAAAACGAATGACTGAGTCCCTTCTTGGAGGGTGGACAAGCTTGGCATTCTAAGCCCCCAGGATTTGGTTCTTCTTTAGATAAAGTCAATAAGTAGTAGGTATAGTTGTTACATTTTTTCCCCTTTCTTTTAGAGAGCTTGGGGGTCTGGAAATTGAATGTATGGTAGCGGGTACCTAAAATTGTCTCTCTCATTGAGTTACATCCCAGACCAGGAGCTGTAATTATTACTGGAATTATCTCAGTTATAAAGAAGACAATGAAGGAAAAATAGAAAGAAAAAATACTAAATAACAGTCCTCCTCAAGTAAGAGAGAGAACGGGCAGATCTATCATCCGTTGATAATAATGAAGTAACTTTCTTCCCCATGTTCAGTAGCGCACGAGAACGTAGTTAATGAATGCCCATTGAGTACAAACACAATAGCCGCTTGGTGTCTGCCCTTCCTTGTTGGCTTAGAGAGGCAGGGTACGAAGCCAGGGCAGCAGGACTGTGAAGCAGGTGAGGAGAGCCGCAGGGTGCAGAAGCAGGTCGTGCAGACGGCAAGTGACTTCACCTACTGTCAGCACTCACCCTGACGCTTGTACGTCCACAGCGGCTCTCATTAAAAGTCAGGCAGAGCCTGGGAAGGTGACGGGTCACAGACGTTTGTGAAAGAAATGATATGCTAGAGTGGCAAAGCCATCAGGGGAATTATGGGTACGCTCCAGGAAGAAGTGACCCTGAAAACTGCAGTGACTTACAACAGCCGAGGAGCCATTCGTGCCTCTTGTCCATCAGAAGCCTTCGGCGGCGGCGGTGGCGCTGCTCCCACGGTCTCCACTCTGAGGTGGGCACTGAGGAAGCAGCTGTAACCGAAAACACGGAGTGGGAAGGGGAAGACGGTGAATGGAACTGCCCCGCGCGGATGCAGCTCGCCTCTGCCGCCTGCATTTCAGTGGCTAAGCCTGCAGCCTAAGTGAGGAAGAAACACCAACGTTTTTAGAAATTGATGGTGAGGGTGGGTGGAGAATGTCTCACGGGGTCTCACTTTTACATTTCAGAATGCCCTTTTTGGTGTGTGTGGGGGGGGAGTACGTTTGAGACGCAACTGCAAATACTTCATAATAAATTACCACATAGAAAAAGATGTTGAACACTAGAGTCTAGATATAGAAAAATACACACAAAAATGCAAATAAAGGCACCCTTTGAGAAGTGTGGATTCCAGAGTATGTGGCTTAGATGCCTGTTCCCTCAGACCTCCACAGATCCGACCTTGCCCTCCTGGGCCCCAGTCACAGAGTGGTTCCATGAATTTTCCCGAGAACCGAGGCCTCCTGTCTGTCAGGAAATTGGTGCCTGCGTTGCTCAGGGCCTGTTGGGCGCTGGGAAAGCGCAGATTCCTGACAGCGGGGATATACAGTGTTAAAGGCACTGTTTTCTGGGAGGTGAGGGTTTGTCTACCATCACATATCCCGGCTGTGTTCTCTTAACCTAGAGCCCCCAAGTACTCCCCTGTGGCTGGAGACCTGCGGTGACTAAGGATTGATTTGTGCACTCCCAAGCCAATGCATGTTGAAGCCCTAACCCCCAGTACCTCAGAAAACAACGCTATTTGCAGATAAGCATTTTCAAGAAATGGTTAAGCTAAAATGAAGTCTTTAGGGTGGGGTCTTATCCAAAACGAGGATGTTCAGGGCCAGGGTTGAGTTTGACGGTAGAGCACTTGCCTTGCCCATGTAGGGACCTGGGTTAAACGCCCGGCACCCCCAAATTAGGAGAGACCACATGGGGATTTAGCAAGAAGGTAGCTATGTGCAGCTTAAGGAAGAAAATTACAATCAGAAACCAAGCTTGCTGACACTTTGGTCTTGTACTGGCAGCTTCTAGAACCATGAAGGATTTCTGCTATTTAAACTACCCAGTCTATGGAGTCTTGTTATGGCAGCCCTCTGGCTAACATAGTGGTTCTTTTGAGTATCGAACAGTGACAAGGTGGACAGGAAGGCATATCATTCTCTCCCCAGTGCTGGAGGGGAACACAGGGGCCTCACACATGCATGGGCCCAGGCTGGTTTTGCTTTTCACCGCAAAGGTGCTGCGCCTCAGCCACTGCTCCGCCCTGATATCAGCGGCTGGGAATGTGAGACACCTTTGTGAGAAGTCCTTCACAGTGGTGAGCATGCACAGACCCCCGAAAAGCCCTCACCTCTGGGAATATCCTATTCACCAACCCCCACAAAGGTCTCTCTGGGGATTTTCATTAATTGGTAGAAATTGGTCCAGATGTGCTTAAAACCAGGGGAAAATGTCATTTTAAATGATGCTTAATTACAGAGAACTCTTAATAACATGGAGGAAATGATTATATTATCATTTAAGTATAAAAAATCAGCATGCAAAATTAAACCATATAGACAGAGCCACCTTATCTATGTAATCATATGCATAAGAGAAAGACTGACTAGAAATACAGTCAACGTTAGCATTAGCTTTCCCGTGTGATGAGATTATAGGTTATTTTTGTTTTCTTCTTTATATTCCTCTGCATTTCTGATTTTTTCGTGTTGAGCATGTGTGAGCTTTATAATCACAAAATAGGCTTATGTTTTAAAGATTGGAGGTTGGAGCAGAGTGTATATAACCCGGTGTCACAAAGGAGAACCATCTCTGGGAGATACAGACTCCTGAGCACCTGAGTCAGATCCAAATCCATCCGAAATCTGTGGCCCACTCTCTCTGCTTCCACGACTGACTGGGAATTCCAGCTCCTCTTCAGAACAGGTCTCTGCGAATTCCTCCTCCCTTGAGACCTCTGAGCTCTGCTTCGGAACTCAGACTCTTCTATCCCGATTCAAGCTGTCTACACTTCTCTTAGCCAATGACTCACAGGACATTTTCACCCTTTCCATATACTTTGCTCCCAAACCTTTTATGCTCTGAGGCTGCCCTGGCACCTGTGGCTTCCATGAGCAGAGTTCCTGCAAAGTAATTAGCAGGAAATAAAAGGGTCAGGGGAGAAATGCCTCTGGAATTTTCTTCTCTGTGGTGTGACTCTTCTGGCTTCTCCTACCTTCCTTCTTGTTCCTCCTCTTGTAGATGAGTAGCTACATCAGACTGACGCACCAGCGAAGAACAGACAGCCATGCTTGGCCGACCTCTACCTTCCCCGCTCACTGTATCTCTGCTCACAGTAAGACTATCGCCTTGTTCTTCTGCACAGTCCTCTCCCTAACCCTGCTTCCCACCTCAGCTTGCACGAGCCTGCCTTATCAAATGTTGCTTGTGATGGAGCCTGTCTACCTAGCCACGAAATACGGCATTCCTATTAGAGCTCACGATTGCTTTCTATCAATAATCAAGGTTGGTATGGGCTGAATAACACCTCCCTCCCTAATCTATGTGTTGATATGCTACCCTCGCCCCAACCCTGCTTCCCCCAGCCAAGTGATAATGTGCCGGTTACTTTCTGTTGCTATGACACAATATCATGACTAAAAGCAACTTAAAGAAGAGTTTCTTTTGGCCTTTGGTTTGAGGGGGATGAAGAGTGCATTGCGGTTGGGAAGGCATGCCATGGACATAGGAGCAGGAGCTGGCTGGCCACGTTTTATCCCACATACAGGAAAAAGGGGGTGAGGCTATAAACACCGAAGTCCACCCCCAATGATGTACATATTCCACCTCCTAAAGACTCTGTCACCTCTCCCATCAGCACCACCAACTTGGGGCCAAGTGTTCGACTATGGGAGCCTGTAGGAGACATTCTCCTTCAAACAACCAGGGATGCTATTAAGAGACTGGATCTGTGGGAACCAGATAAGTCATTGAGAGTGGGGTCCCTCATGAGTGGGATTTAGGCTCTACAGGAAGCTTTCTCGCTCTTTCCAGCCCATGAAAAGACATCGGGGGAAGCCAGCACTTAGTGTCCAGGGAGATCCTGGAAGGATCCTCGCCAGAACCTGACCGTACTAGCACCCTGATCTCGACTTCCAGCGCTTGCAATCTTGAGAGACAAGAACATATTTATCCATCCGTTCACTCTTTGTTTGGGGCTCAGGGAATAGATGCTAGGGATGAGATCTTCTCAGTATCTCTAAAGGAACTGACTTGGGAGCCTCCTCTGTCCCACCGAGATGGGGCTGCACATGTGCTAAGGCATTTGTTATCTTTGTATTAGCATTTTCCTCACTGTGACACAGCGCCCACGAAACCACTTGGGGAAAGAATGACACATTCCAGTTTCAGAGATCTCAGCCCATGCTTGACTAACTGCTTTGTTTCTGGGCCCGAGAGAGAGAGAGAGAGGCAGAACATCACAGGGGAAGAAAGTGGAGAAGAAAACCTTGTTATAGCCAGGAAGCAGAGAGAAATAACAGGAGGAGGCTAGGACCAAGACACGCCCTTCCAAGGCATATCCACAGCAAGTAATTTCTCCCAACAAGGGGCCACCTCCATGGTCTCCACCACTGAATGATCTGTTCAGATGGAAGCCCTCAGTGGGTGAAACCATTAGGTTCAGTCGGCACCCTCCTCATCTAAACTGCCTCGGGAAGCTCCCTCACCCACACCCCCAGGGGCTCGCTTTACTCATCGTATGGGCATCTCTCAGTCCAGTCAAGCTGCCAATCAAGACGAACCCTCTCACCCCACGGCCATATGTGCCATTTTCCCCTCCCACAAATAAGGAAATGAAGGCTCAGAGAAATGGAGAAATGAGCCTAAGGTCTCATAGTCAGTGAGGGGCAAACATCTGTCTAATCTGAACGCCCCAGCACTTTCTAGTGCTTAAGATCTTGTCCTTGGCCACTGATGCATTCTCGGGGACTGAGGCAACAACCCTATTGTAGGAGGAGGACCCACTTGTTCGTCCTGGCCACCCGGCTTGCTTAGCCCCGAAATAACAACACAGAAACTGTATTAATTAAATTACTGCTTGGTCCGTTAGCTCTAGTTTCTTATTGGCTAATTCTTACATCTTACTTTAACCCATTTCTGTTCATCTGTGCATCGCCACGTGGCAGTGGCTTACCGGGAAGGATCCAGCATGTCTGACTCTGGCGGCTCCATGGCAGTTCTCTCCCTCCTCTTTCTTCCTCACAGAATTCAATCCCGTCTTCTCTGCCTACCTAAGTTCTGCCCCTATCAGGCCAAGGCAGGTTCTTTATTCATTAACCAATATAAGCGACACATAGGAAGAAGGACCTCCTGCACCACCCTATGTTCCTTAAGACCTCATCATGCCACAGCTTCATTGCTAACCATCTAAGCTTCCAACCGAGCAGCAAGCCAGGGAGGCAAAGCCAATGTGATGGGAGGACAAGAAGACAATGGTTAGACAACTATAGATTATAAAACACTAAATATTAAGAAATATATATTTCCCCATTACCTCAGAGACATTTTTCTCCCTCTGAGACAGAATTTTACTTTGTAGCCTAGGCTGGCCTGGATCTCGCTGTGTAGCTCGGGCTAGATTCTAACTCATGGCGATCTTCCCCCTCCCGCGTACTGGGATTAGGAGTGAGACACTACTGAGACTCTGACCAGTTACCTCACCTCCTCTATTCTCCTGTGCTCTGGATCCCCAACTGAAACAGTGCAGGACTAGCCAGTCTTACTACATCAAACCACATGCCATATTTCTCTGAGGCTGGCATCAGAACAGCTGTCCCCTAACTCCTGCTTGCCGCTAGAAAACAAATACATGTCCTACTGCATATGGATTGAAATAATTTAAACAAATAATGGATAAATCTAACCATACATAAAAGTCAGGGATAGTGAGCTGATGAACAGAAAATGACGGTGAAATTTAGCTGGCTGACCTTTGAAACAGAAGAGCGAAGAGGACGCTTGACTCTGA